TAAAAAATCAACATCAATTACTCAAACCCAAAAAACCACTTTGATTGAGTTTGAGCATGTAAACAATTATGAGTCTATTATTTAATTAATGTTCTCATTCTTATAGACATGGCAAGATTTACGATCCAGGACAAAATTTGAAAAAAGCGAGATCAACAAGCATTATGGATGTTCCGCGGAGGACCACCTATTGAAAAGGAATTAGCACCTTCAGAAATGTCAATATAAGATATTGCAAAGGTTGTTTGAATTGAGGGACATGCTTTACCAGAATCTTCAACAAACTTCAATTTTGAAGAAACAGATAAAATTGTTCAGGACTTGCTTAATGAAAATAATAAAGAACAAATTTTACCTGCTCAAAAAGAAAAAATCAAACAAAGAAAACAACCTTCGACAAGTCAAAGGAAAGTACCAAAAAGGTCTAAAATTTCAAATGAAATGGTAATTAATAACATTAATTCACTATACAAACTAAAAATTAAAATAAAAGAAAGCTATTACAATAAAAAACTATTGTCAAGTTTGTATGTTCTAGTTTTTTTAATATTTATATTCCATAGCCTTTCTAAAAATCAATTTCTAAAAATCACATTACACATTTTTTTCCAACAAAAAGGACTGAGTGCTGCCTTACAAAGTTTTTTGATATATCAAAAACTAAGTAAACCTGGGGTTCTATCCTCGACTTCCGCATTGCTCGTATGCGAACCGAAAACGAGTGGTTTATTAGCGAATAGTTTTATGAAATGGTATTCTTGACAACCGTTCGCAAATAAAAGCGTACACGATAAAATTCAGCGAGTGATAGATCTGACAACGCCGCATTTACGTATTTACCGTATTTTTGGTATTTTTAATTTTGTGTACTGGTATTACCTTGAAGTTTGTGTAATTTGTTTGTGTTTGTTACCTTTATTTTGTTTTATATGAAAATATTAATTATTAAATAAAGAAATGGAAAAAAGTAAACATTACAGAAAATCAAAAGAAAATACTTATTGTGTATGTGAAAAAAACGTGGATTTACAAAGCGACAAGTTTTCGAAAAAATTTATATTCAAAGATGCACAACATAAATAGGGCGAAATAATAAATATTCCTAACAGTATGCCTCGGCAGACTGAAAGAATTGGAAAAAGGTAAATTATATTAATTTTGTTTAAAAAATTATAATTACAAAATTGTAGACATGGCAAGATTTAAAATCGAGAACGAAAACGAAGGCAGGGACCATCCGAAATCACGCAAGGGGGACAGGTGGCGGACCTCCATTAGTAGGCAGTCTTCAATAGAGGAGGACATTTTGGACTGTGTGAAACGTGTTAATGTGGAAGAGCATAAGGAGGCTACCGAGTCTGCAGTGGAGTTTGACTTCAGTTTCACCGAAGAGCCATCGACAGTCCATATCAGAATTCCAATTTACTGAGGAAGAAATTAATTCCTAATGACAATGTGTATTTGGTGTGAGGTATGACAGCAACCCACCCAAGCCAACATGCTAGTCTCCCAGAGAAAAACTGCAATAAAAATCACATTGCAAGCTGTCAACGATTTTAACTTCTATGGAAAAAAGAACACTAAGTAAAGAACAATATTATGAAAGGAAATTGGCAATATTGGAAAGGTTGGCTACTGCAAAGGAAGAAGGAAATGTGATAAAGGGAAGAATAGCTGCAGCAATAGAGTCAATAGCAGAGTCCAAGTTGCTGCAGAACCGATTCTGAACCAGTTTTTAACATTAAGGCAGCAATTACATTACAAATGGATTTTTCATTTGTTTGTAGTGTTATTGCAATCTTAGTGGTCAGAACTAGTTCAGAATATGTACCATTTTTCTTTTGGTCTGTTTGTTATTTTATTTTATTTATTTTTGTGAGAGGTATTTATAAGTCATTTGGTAGGTTCTAGAAGGTTTATTTTTAAATATCAATTTTGTTCCTGTTTTTGTTGTATGATAAAACATAGTATATAAGTTTGTTTATTATTTTGAGAAATGACTCCTTCAACCAAAATTTGAGCATTATATACTCCTAAATCATGTAGTTCACCTTCTTCCCCTTCATCATCAACAGGTAAAATATTGTGATCAATACATAAATTGCGTAGTACAACACATGCATTTATAATTCTAGTGGCATTTTCTGGTGAATAATGTAACACCCTGTGCTTTAATAGAAAACGAAACCTCATCTTTAACACACCATTATAGAAATGCTCACGTGTGTTTTATTGAGGTTTTTGTTCTAATGGTGTCATTAACCATGTCCTTAAAGGGTAGCCAGAGTCACCTGTTAATAAATGAAATTAAAGGAACTATTTAATCGATAGTTGATAAACTATAATAAAAAATATACAGTATTACCAGTTTCGTGGATTCTTCTTAAAACATTTTGAACATGTGATTGGCTTCAAATATAGAAATCGTTACTACTACCCGGAAAAAGTGCATTTACATTTAATATCTATATTAGTCATGATAGATGAATTATTCTTTACCAACTGTGTATTAATTGAGTGATAATTTGTTCTATTAATATAAATATGCTTGGGGTAGTACATTATTAATTTTTGGAGGCAATATAGCTATGTGGGTGCAATTAATACATCCAATAATACCAGGGAAATCATATTTTTTGAAGAACCTAAAAATTAATTGGTATCAATAAAATAAAATTATTTTAACAAAAACAGTCTATCCACCCTGTTCTTAGGACGTTAAGTTCTTCTATATTTTGTGGAAATCTAACATGTTCTCGAAATATTTTATCCCTGTTAATGACATTTACCACTTCCTCTAAACATCTTGATACAGATGACTGGGCTATGGCAAAGTTATAATTGGAACCAATGTCCATTTGGCCAAAAACCGTTAACACACTAACACCTTAAAAATTGAAAATAGGTAAGAAAAAATCACACTAGAATCTATTGTGCGGATACACGGAACTAAGAAAAAACTTGTTATTTATGCAAGTTTGTAAATAAATATATCGATAATAACTTACCTTGGTGGATATACTCAAGTCTGTACGGCGACGCGCTGGGGTAATGTAGATTTCCAAACGATTTATTAGGTATCAAGTTAATTCTTTCGTCAAACGAAATACTTTAATAAAATGTAAGTCCGTTAGGTCTTCGAATGGATCTATTCGTTGCCTAGAACGACGTTTTTGCCTTGCCTCCACATTTTCTATCACATTTATTAAAACTTTTGAATTAATTTATCCATATGTTTTAAGGTTATGTCAAATGTTTTAACAAAACGAACACGTATCGACGAAAACGAATACAAATTCCGCTCGCTGTAAATCATTCGCTTTTAATGCGCATACGCAGCATGTGCGAGTGGCAAAGAATAGGAAACTAGATATTCGAACGCAAAAGCGTATGCGATTTTTAAATTCACTTGTCAAGGATAGGTCCCCTGGGCTGCGATTCTCGAGTTCATTTGCATGACTTACGTATACGCAAGTGCCAACTTACAAACGATAGAGTTGAAATGCGATTCTTGAATCTGTGCAAAAATGCGCATTTGTACATTTTTATTCGCAATGCAACGAGTGGTCAACAGCACTCGCTAAAATACCTTAATCTAAAATTTGTGACACAAAAAGTCAAGAGAATGGACGAGCTTATCAATATAAATGGTTTGGCTGCTATTGAAGAGGCTGAAATTAATAATTCAGCCCCTCGCAGGATATCTCATCAAAGGGACAATCCACTGGAAACATTATCCGATAAAAAGTTTATACGAACTTACCGATTAAGTAAAGACTTGGTGCGCGATGTAGTGCATTTATTGGAGCCGTATATTGTAGCCCCCTCACGAACATCTGCCTTATGTACTACCACAAAGGTAAGGCGGTTATAACAAAATTTGTACTTGATTGAACTGAAAGTTATTTTTGTTAATAGGGGTTAACAGCATTGCGTTTTTTTGCATACGGCAGTTACCAATTTAGCATTGGTCAAAATATAAATTCAGCGGTAAGTCAATCCTCGTGCCATTGAGAAAGTAGTGGACGCACTAAATGAGCCAAATATATTTAATACTTATGTACATTTTCCACGGAACATGGACGAATTACGAGGCCTTCAAACTGATTTCTATAACAAGTATCATTTACCGGGCATCATTGGTTGTGTCGATTGTACTCATGTGGCAATATACCCCCCATATAACAATGATGAGCAGCCTGAACAAATATATGTGAACCGAAAAGGGTACCACTCGATGAACACTTAAAGTGTTTACATTTGGAACAACAGTTAAGTAAAGCCCGTTATGGAATCGTTACATGCACGTGGTCTGAAGTCTTTTTTTTACTGGGGTATCCCTTACGTAGTTATTTATTAACGCCGTTTGATGCTGCACCTCCATACTCCCCACAATGGAGGTACAATGAAAAACACGATAACGATACGATCAACTATATTAAAACTAAGATTCCGATGTCTTTTAAAGCATAGGGTGCTGCACTATGCACCCACAAAAGCAGCTAAAATTATTAATGCGTGTGCAGTATTGCACACGCAATATGTGCATTGCGCATCGTTTGCTGAATGTGGATCCCGAGGCAGATGATGGCGATATCGATTTAGAAATGTTTCACGAAAACGTGGGGATTGCCGAACCACGAATTTACGCTGGCGGGCGACCTAATCAACCGCTAGAAGAGGGACGTGAACAAAGAAATGCAATTATAAGACAACATATGAATTAGAATAATTTATTGTAGGAACGAAACAAAACAAACTTAAATGCTAAATAAAAAACAAAACAAAATTGTTCTGATTTGTTAAGACGGTACAATACTGTTTGTATGTTTTTGGCATCCGCTATTGCATCGTTTATAATATTCTTCTTTAGCGATAATCAGTATTTCGTAAAGTGCTAACTTCCTTTCGTAATAATGTTTTTTAACTCTATTTTTCTCCTCCAACTGTTGCGCAATTCGTTCTTGTGCCTGCAGCGTGTGTTCCAATCTTGTATTTGACTACGTCGGTTGTTTTGTTGGGATGTTTTCGTTGTTATTTTTCCTTTTGCCTAAATATGACTTGCGGCTAGTGGGTGTTTCGTGGACGGAGTGATCGCTGTTCGCGGGCTGCATGGTGGGTATTGGCGGCTGGTTTACAACCCCAACAGGAGATGGATCACGAAGGCTTGGCATAGGTTCATTTGCATCAAATTCCATGTAGATAAACTCGGCTGTGGTATTTTCGAGAAAGTTAATAACCTCCGACTCTAAAACTTCCGTATGACCTTCAATTGCAGTATGACCAATAAGATGTACAATTTTTTTCTCGAACGGCGTTAATATTTCTGTGGGGCCACCCCCAGTATCATTTTTAGAATTGTTGATACGCGATTTTTTCTGCTTCGCCCTCGAGCATAGATATTGCCAAGTCTACCAAAATAAACGTGGCTAGTTATTAAGGAAAACGAAATAGATATTTTTTCTTTAAGAGCGGTAAGCCTGGTGCAAGCACCTTTGTAAATCCCTGCCGCTTTTAAAAACAATGGTAAATGCGCATTTGCGGTTGCGTTGTTCAATTTGTGTAGGAGAAAAATATTTAAGGGCAATTCATCCATTTTTATATTATTTATACGAAATCTCAGGTTATACGCAGTGACAGTTTGACACGTTTGTTATAGCTGGTTGCTTCACACAAATAAATGCGGATTTACCATTGGGGTTTGAAATCGGTAGGGGCAATTCATGGAGGTGCTGCGCCACAAAGTAATTTACATTAATTGCATTTATAGTATTCTTCACCATAATATGCGTAAAACAAACAATGTTAGAAGGTATTTTTAATGTTTTAGTACATTATATAAAAATACTTTACCTTCCTCCATGCTTTCCAATCTTTTATAACTCCCACTGTTTGATGCAATTCTCCCGCGATGTTTATCCACTTTTGTTGAGCCATTTTTTGCGTAAAGGTAGTCGAAAACTTTGCCTGTCGAAGATCTGGGTTATCTTTCATAAAATATAAAATATCTTATTGTTCTTGGCTCGTCTTTCCACATCTGCTTTTTCTCCTTTTCCATTGTTATAATAACAGTTCAATAATAAATAATAAACTACACTATGTACTGATTTGCGTAAACGAATTTTTGGTAAACTAACCCAACTAATACTGGCCATCTGACAACTTTCATAAAATACATCAAAAACTATGTTGGTTATACTGCAAACTAGCACCGTTACCACATAAACATTCGAATGCATACCTACTTGTGCGCAAATTTTTGCACCGAACTATTCGCATTCGTAAGGTTGCGAATGAACTCGAGAATCGCAGCCCTGAACTTGATCCTTTTTACGATTGAAAAGAGCAGAAAAATGTGCCATGTGATTTTTAAAAAGTGGACTTTGTACAGCTGTACAGTTTGGCACTGGGTTAAAGATATGTTCTTGTTTTTTATAGATTTAAGTTTTTAAGGTTTTTTAATAGTTTTTATGTTTTTGTTTTTTAACATTTATTGTTGTACCTGGGGCGCTATTCTCGACTTCATTCGCATTGCTCGTATGCGAACCGAAAACGAGTGGTTTATTTGCGAATAAGAAATATGAAATGATATTCTTGACAACCGTTCGCAAATAAAAGCGTACACGATAAAATTAAGCGAGTGATAGATCTGACAACGCCGCTTTTGCTAGTGTATTTTTACTTTCATGTAGTGGCTACCATAGATTAATTACCTCTAGACTGGAAATCATCTGTTCTGTGATGTTATTATTTTTATAATATTAGTGACACTATGAATGTAACAAAGTTTAATAAACAAATTACAGAAAATCAAAAGAAAACCCTAGTGGAATATATGAAAAAAATACAAATTTGCAAAGTGGAAAATTTAGCAACCATTTTACATATAAGGATGCACAGGGTCAATAGACTAAAATAACAAACATTATTAATAGTATTCCGGGTGCAACAAAAGATTGGAAGAGTTGGAGAAAGGTGAAATTGTATTAATTACAAGTATGTTTAAATATTTAAAATTATAATTGTAGACATGGCAGGATTTAAAATCTAGGACAAAGACAAAAGCAGGGCACATAAAAAAACATGCAAGGGGAACAGGTGGTGGACCACCATTGGAGGATAAATTGGCTACTATTGAGGAGGAAATTTTGGATTGCGTTAAAATAGTTAGTGTGGAAGAACACAAGAAGGCCACCGAGTCTGCAGTCGACTTTTACTTCCATTTTATAGAAGACCCACTTACAGTCCCCATAAAAGAAATGCAATTTATTATAGACCTTCGGGTGAAGGTTTACCAGTACCTCAGAAAACAGTCAATAAAAAATGTGTCTTTGGGCGGAGGTTTGCCAGTAGCATCAACCTCAGGAAGCCAACAGCCAACGAAGAAAAATACTATAAAAAAATTGCTATATTGGAAAGAATTGCTGCTGCAAAAGAAGAAGCAAATAATATAAAAACACGAATATCTGTGGCCTTGGAATCTATTGCAGATTCTATCTCTTAAAAGTATATTTTGTTGATTCATAAAAAGTTTTATTTGTTAGGTTTGTTTATTTATTTTATTTACTTATGTGATATGGGTATTTATAAATCATACCAATTTTCTACAAGTTTTGATACCATATCAAAATTTGTAGAAGTTGTAAATAATATTTAATAATTATATTATGATCTATAAATATCACTTAACGTTATTGATTCACTTTATTTTGTTCTTGTTGCAAATGCAAGTTTGTATATTTTATAGTTTAAATTGTATAGGTATTATATATTAAAATAAAACTTTATTTTGGATCTGTGTATTTTATGTTTTAACCTAAATAATGAAAACAAACTTAATTTATATTTATTATTATAGAAAAATATATTAGCGAAAAGTACTATTTCTTTGGTTACCTGGTATCAATTGTTGCCTTTTTCGTCTACCAGCTGCCAATTCAGGATTTACTCTTTCTTCATGAAAATTTGACCATCATAGACTCCTAAATCAAGTTCACCTTCTTCGTCTTCATAATCTACTTCCAAAATGTTATGTTCTATGCACAGATTGTACAATACAACATATGCATTTATTACTTGAGTTGCTTTTTCTGGCGAATAATGTAGCACCCTATGTTTTAAGATGCAACGAAACCTCATCTTTAAAACACCATTGCATCTTTCTATGATGCTTCTTATAGACTTGTGTCTTTTATTATAGAAATGCTCAGGTGTGTTTGGTTGAGGTTCTGCCTGTAGAGGTGTCATTAACCATGTTCTTAATGGGTAACCAGAATCACCTATTAATAAACACAATTTAAAGAACTGTTGATTAAATTTTGATAAACTAGGTATAATACCTTACAAAAAATAATCCGTATTGCCAGTTTCATGGATCCTTCTCAACACATTCTGCACTTGGGATTAGTTTCAAATAAAAGCATCATTGGAGCTTCCCGGAAACAGTGCATTAAAATTTAATATTTTTAAATTATGATCACAAATCTAAACAATATTAATTTAATTAGTAATAATAAATTTATTATTTAAAAATATAATTTTTACCAACTGTACATTTATTGAATGGTAATTTTTTCTGTTCACATAAATATACTCAGGATAGTTGGCATCATTTATTTTTGGAGGAAATATGGCAATATGTGTGCAATCGATACATCCAATTATTCCAGAAAAGTTGTATTTTTGAAAAAACTAAAATTTAATTGTTAATAATAGAATAGTAATATATATTTAAAATATTTTAAATAAAACAGCATATCTACCCTGTTCTTAGGATGTTGAGGTCTTCTATGTTTCTTGGAAAGTTAACAAATTCATTAAATATTTTTTCTCTATTTATTGCGGTTACTAATTCAGCAATACATCTTGATACAGAGGGCTGTGAAATTCCAAAATTATAATTTGACCCAATGTCCATTTGGTAGCTCCCATTAGCCAAAAATAGTAAATATACTAAAACCTTGAAAATAAAAACAAGTGAAAAATTTCACTTAGCTTGGATACATAAAACAAGGTGATGACAAATTTACACTACAGTGTAAAGTTTATACTGCAGTGTAAAGTTTACACTACAGTGTAAAGTTTATACTGCAGTGTAAAGTTGACACTACAGTGTAAAGTTTACATTACAGTGTAAAGTTTACATTACAGTGTAAAAGTTTACATTACAATGTAAAGTTTGCACTAACACTTGGTACCTACCTATAATTATTCGATTTGTACCCACAAGCATTTGTTTTTTATTGCATTATAAATTTTAATATAATAACATAATAATTAATATTAACTTACCTTTGTCGATACATCCAAATCGGTGGGGCGACGGGCTGAGGAAATATAGTTTTCCAAACGATTTATTAGGAACATTCCCGACAAACATTTTCACCGTTTGTGACCAGTAAATGTCCGCTTATTGTCCACTAAGACGCAAATAAAGTATCGAACATTAGTCGACACAAGCCGACGAAAGTGTGGACGAAAGTCTGAATTGCCTTGGCACATGAGCCTTTGTACCAATAGCAGGCGCAAGAGTGCGTCGCATGCTGTTCAATAATTCAAGCAACATTACGTTCACATGCGTAAGACACAATATGTACACCAGTGTAGGGCTCAGTCTGTACAAAAGTGTGTGTCACTTTGTGGACATTTTGTACGGCTCCCTTGGAAACATGAAATATTTAAAAAAGTTTATTAAACAAAGTAGGTACCTTTAAATCTTTGGCATAAAAATATAAATAATATAAAAAAATAAAATATAATTTTTATAATGGACATAAAGTCCTTATTATTTTTGGAATGAAAAATATAAATAATATAAAAAAATAAAATATAGTTTTTAAAAACAAAATTATTTTTGAAATGCCCTTTTTTGATTTCGAGTTGACCTCTTGCAGAAATCTTTTATGGCTTTTTTTACATTTTCTTTATCTTCTTTTCGTACGAGGTTTATAGTCAGAAAAATAAGTTCTATTATGCCTTCTAAATCTAATAATAATAATAATAATAATAGTTTATTAATCCAACAGACAAAGTCTAAATAAAGGATATATATTTTTTACAATATGCAGTATAACACAACATTAAATAAACAATATAAAACAATGAAAAAAAAAAATAAAAGTAAAATTATAATTTGTTACGCTATTGCTCTAATTCTATTAACAAACTGATTTAATGATAAAACGCACATGTCACAATTATCTTCAATTTGATTATATAATCGACACATTGATCTTAGCGGGGCATGCATGCCCTGATTAGTATTAGATGCTTGAACATAAAAAGTCTGTCGAAATCTAGAATTAACTCTTGGTACAAAAAAGTTGACTTTTTGTAACTGTTTGGAATCAAATATGACTCCATTAATTAGTTTATACAAGTAAATCAGCTGAGCATTTCTTCTTCTTATTTCCAGACTTTCCATGTCAAAGCAAAATCTGCAAAGATGTTCTTTGTTTCCGCTGTAAAACATCAACATGTAAGTAAAAAACTAAATAGGCTGAAAAGGTATAGTTTCCAGTTAGAAACACTCGTTTGCAACCGATCTTACTTCATGCTAAGCCATACAATATATAATTACTTAGCGTTAAGTAAGATTAATGCAATCTGGCCTATTGGGCCTTTGAACAAAATCATGCAATACATTATAAAAATTGTGTGATTTGCTTACAAGTTTGAATCCCTGCCTTGCGACTCCAACTAAATTCTACGTAAACATCGTAAGTAGCTATCTTTTCCATCAGTTTTGTTTAACGAAGTGTGCTTTGAGACCAGTTTTTTAGGACGAATAGACTGAAATTTAGCAAAATTCATTATACATAAAACATACATAAATGTTATATTACATACCGTTTTCTGTCGATGATGGTTATTAAGAAAGAGCAGGTTTAATCTTATCATCCCTGTTAATGACTCAATTGGTAACCTAGGCGTAATATAAGTTTCATCAATTTTTATATTTTCTAGGTCCGCGGATCTATTACAAATTTGAGCTTGAAAAATTTCTTTTAGGGTTTCAATGCTTGTAGCCAGCTCCTTTACGGTACCTCTTAAATCAGTTTTGACACTTGCAATGTTTTCAAGGAGTAATTGTTTGATGCCCTTTAATTTTCGATTCAATCTTTCTGCCGATATATGTTCTTGGGTATTGGCTTCATTTCTACTTATCTCTTTTTTTTCTTGTTATGGATATTTAATTGTGCTTCAATTTAAACTGATTCTATCAGGCCCGTATCTAGACTAAAATTTCGGGGGGGGTTAGACCAGTGGCATTTGAAAAAAATTTTAAAGGTTTAAAATAAAACTATTATGTTTAAATGGGTTTTAATGAAAAAAACAGGTTAAATATATTTAACATTTAACTTTAAAATTAAAAAAAAACTAATTATAATAATAAAGGAATATTTCTCTGCTTTTCTCTCGCAAAACGATTTAAGACCTCTGTGGTATCAATTTTAATGTTTCTATGCACACTTAAAAGGGCCAGACCTGTTAGACGTTCTTGACCAGTTGAATTCCGCAAATAGTCTTTTAAACGTCTCAATAATGAAAATGATCTTTCCGATGAAGCTGTAGATACAGGTAATGTAGCAAGAATTTTTAAAAGAATATGTATATTAGGAAATATAGATCGATTGCATGCTGATAATGCGTCAATAGCATTTTTTGGTCTTCCAGCTTGAGGCAAGTCAGTCCATTTTTGTTTCCATAACTTTAACTCTGCAGATAAGGTATCAAAGTCCAAAAATTCTTCATATAAAGAAAAGTCTTCTATTTTTACTTTGTGTGTAACGCATATAGTTGGCACTAGAAAATATAATGATGAAAGTGATTTTTTATGATTTGCAAATCTTTCAGCCAATTCTTCGATAAAATCGTCAAAAAAGGGAATTGCAACTGTAATTCGAAAATATTCTTCTGCAGTGGCTACCATGACATTAGGACGATTCTGCTGACGTGCAACTATTCTTGGAATTTTTATGCACTCTTGGTCATCTACAGACTTTATAAGTGTTTCAGATTTTTTAAAAATATTGCTAAATTCCTGATCTATATTAAGTCTCATATTCCTTACCTGACTAATAACAGTATCCACATGCTCAACAGCACTTATTAGATCAAAATCCACAGACTGTAAAATTCTGCATAAAGGTAGAGTAAAAGCAAATAAAGTGGACGCAGTTAACATACTGATGATAAACTCACTAGTCATAATCGCCCGAAGAAATTGCAAAGCTTTTGAGGAAGTTTCGATGTCTTTTACTAGTTTTAGATCTTCTAGTGTTTCAACAATTGGTTTAAAAACTTCAGTAAACCTTATTAGTCCGTCATGATTTTCCACCCACCGTGTTTCACACATGGATGTCAACTTAGTCCATTTAGTATTTGGAACATGTTCTTTTATTTTAATTTTTAATATCTCAGTGCGCTTAGCTGATATTTTTATAAAATTTGC